ATTCTGCTAGAGAGAACCACCTACTCATGCTATTTGACTTTTATTTTTTAATTCACTTTATTGTTTTTAAAATTATGAAAGTAATAGGTCCTCAGTATAAAAACAATTCAAGTGGTCTAGCAGTATATAAAGTAAAAAATAAATGCTGTCTCCTTATTCTTCTTTATTTCCTTTTTCTGGAAGAAACCACTGTTGTGTGTCCAAGACTTATTTTTTGATGCATATATGCATGTATACATGCACTCAGCTTTTTTTTAAAACAAATGCAATTTAAAAAAATTGTCCCTGTATTGAGGATGTCTTCCGAAATCTTTTATTTTATTTAACATCTCCCTACTCCAGTGTCTCCTTAGGCTAGGCAGAAGCAGTGAAAATGGCTTGTTGCCGTGTTTTCTCCTTCAGTTCTCTCCTCACCATTCCTTCTGTTGAAATAGATCTTGTAAGGGACAATCTCTAGAAGAGGAATTTATGAATCACAGGGTAAGTGTAGGACCACCTTTAGTAGATACTGCCAGTGAATTGCCTTAAACTCCCACCAGCAGATGTTTGACAGTTCCAGTTACTCTATATCCTTGCCAACACTTGGCAGTTTTTGCCATTTTGGTGAGGTATCTAATTGTGGTTTTAATTAGTATTTTCCTGATGACTCCTGATAGGAGTATATTTTGTAAGTTTATTAGCCATTTAAATATCTTCTTCTTGAAATTTCTGTGGGAGTCTCTTGTCTGTTTTTCCATTGCATTGTCTGTCTTTTTGCTATTAATTTATTGGACTTCTTTATATATTGTGGACGTGAGTACTTTGCCATATATATGTATTATAAATGACTTATGCCACACTGTGACTTGCCTTTTTACTCTTTTAATGATTTTTTTTGATGAACAGAAATTCTCAGTTTTAATATCCAGTTTATTGTTTCTTCCGTTTATATTTAATGCTGTGTCATATTTAAGAAGACTTTCCCTACCTTTCCTAGAGTCATGAAGATGTTCGCCTGTGTTTTTCCCTAAAATCTTTCTCTTTCACATTTAGCTGTGTAATCTGCCTTATCTTTGTATGTGGCATGAGGTGGGGGTCAGGACTCATTTAGTTTTACAGATGGCAGCCAGCCCACCCATCGCCACTCACTAGCAGATGCTCCTTTGCCCTCCGTGCTGCAGTGTCTCATCAATGAGTGGCCGTGTGCGTGGGCCTGTTTCTGGACTCCCTTTGTTGTCCTCGAAGCCTCACCAAACTGTTTTTCTTACCATAGTTCCATATTAAATGTCGATATCTAGTTATAGAAGTCCTCCAGTTTCTGTTTTTCTTCCTCTAGATTATTTGTGGTTATTCTTGGCCTTTTTCATTTCCACATAAAGTTTAGAGTCATCTTATTTATTTCCATATATATTAAACCTCCTAGGATTTTGAATGGGATTACATCGAAACTTGAGAATTTCTTTGTGAAAAGGTTTTAATTATAATACAGTTTATTTAATAGATATGGGCCCTTTCAAATTTTCTATTTCTTGTCAGTTTTAGTTGTTTTTTTCATCAAACAAACTTTTTCAATTTGTTCATTTCATCTAAATTTTCACATGTTGGCATACAGTTGTTGATAATTCTAAGGAAAAAAAACACTCAAAAGAGTTTTTCTAATCTCTCACTCAACAACAGTCAACACAAGACTTCTGTGATCAAATGTGTGGGGGTTTCTCCCCACCAACAAGCAGGCAATCAGTTCTGCGCAGACACTAGCTGGATGTCCTCTAATTCGGTTCTTTTGTGACACTAGACACTACCTGGTGATACCCACCTACCCTGTGCCCCTCGTCTCAAGTCTGGGCCTCTGGTACTTCTGATTAACTGGCTTCAAGTTGAGGTTCCCATGATTCACTCTTTGGGTTCAATTAATTTGCCAGAGTGGCTCATAGAACTCAGAGAAATACTTATGTCTACTGGTTTATCACAAAGGATTCAGGTGAAGAGATATATAGGGCCAGGTATGGGAGAAGGGGCATGGAAGTTCCACACCCTCCTTGGATGCATCACCCTCTAGGAACCTCCACATGTCCAGCAGCTCTCCATATCCTGTCCTCTTGGGTCTTTTAGGGTGACATTGTTGCATAGGCATGATTAAAGCATAGACAACTGTGTAGAAATGTGATTGGACAAAAAGGGTATGATCTAATACTAGCAGATAGAGTGGGGAAACGCAGCAAGTCCTGTTTGTTCAGAGTCTTCTTGGCCTCTCTGTGTAGCATTTCTTCCTCCAGGATATGGAGCAAGACCCTCTCTGGAATGAGGTCTTAAGACCTATAATCAGTAAACCCCGTTTACAAAAAAATGAGGAAAAAAAAAAAACCCTATAATCAGAAAGGTGGGGGAAGATTAGAGTCCTGTCTCAGGCAAATAAAAGGAGAGCAGAAGATCCCAGAGAGAATTTCTGTTTTCTGAAGCCTGCTTCTTAGGCCTAAAGCACCCCAACATTATAACAAGGGTTATGGGAGTTATGAGGTAGGAACCATGGACAAAAATACATAAATACATATGTTATATATATGTGCGTGTGTGTATATATATATGTGTGTGTGTAAGGGAATGATAGAATGGAATCCCTATGTCTGTAATTTTGTTGATGGAAGGGCTGCAGAGGAGTGGAGGGTGAGGATTTCTTGGTATTAGGAAAGGTGGGTGCACATGTGGCAGCTGTGGCAAACCCTTGGTGATCTGGCTCACAGGTCATATGGTCACTTCTCAGCCTTTCTGATCCAAGTATGTCTTTTCTGAGTTCCTCCCCAGTGCCCCAGTACCATTTGAGTTTCAGTATGTCTATAGATGATTAATTCTGTTTAAAAAAAAAAGAAAACCTTTTTTGTTTTTCTGACTCTATCCTGGCTCTTGTAAGCTACTCATACTCCACATGATTTAAGTGCTTTATTTAAAAAAATGGGCACTGTTTTGGAAAGGGGTTCTGAAAGGAGGAGGGACTGTCAAGATAAAGAATGATTGTGGAGATTTTCACTGCTTTGAAGTTAGAGGAAAGTTTGCATGAGTAATAGAGAATGTTAAAAGTATTTGTATTTCATTTGTTACTTATTGAATGAGTGAATGAATGAGTGGAGAAAACTAAATGGTTATATGTAACTCCAGAATTGTCACTATTAAGATGGGAATTTGACCTCTTCATATTAAATGAACAGAAATTATTTATGGCTGTTGGGCCTCCTCTTAAGAATTTCTAGCTCTCTTTTCTCTTCGTAGAAAATTAGTGCTATTATATAATTTAGCAGCACTGATTTGAGATCATATTTTTGTACTTTATACTTGAAAAGAAAATATTGTTCAAAATTGCCAGTGTTTAATGATTTCTCAGTATTTTTCGGTGTTATAGGATATTTTGGACTAGATTTGATTAGGTTTTGTGATGAAAACTATCTGGTTCACAATAGAGATGATTTAATTCTCAAAAATACATTTTTTGTTTTTATTTCTGATGTGAGGAAGTATTTATTTTTTGTGGACTTGATCTTCTAGCTTGCTGGGAGCTGGCTGTTTTCCACCTCTTTCCTGATTTATTATGGGATTGCTGCTGTTACGGAACCCAGGCATGTTTCAGGCTTGCAGTTTGGCACTCCATGCATGGGATTCTGCGGTGCCTTCTGTTCCTCAGTAGAGAGTAAATGGCACCATCATTCTTCCGAATTTCTGTATATGTCTGGGGTCAAAGAATTGGGCATGATGTATTTCAATTTTTTATCTAGTCCTCTTGAGAAATAGGTGAAGCAAATCACCCTAGTTCACTGAGTTTCTTGCAGGTGTAATTTAATATTCAGGTCTTAACTTCTGGCATCTCTGTGAACGTGGTGAAACAACTTTGCAGCAGCCGCTTGTGTCGATTCTCATTGCATAGAATTACCCTGGACGGGCAGTCAGGAAGCACCAGTTCTTGAAATCTGTGTGAGGTGATACTTTTATAAAATCCAGTAAAAATGAATTATAAAAGTGAAATAAAAAAGGACTTACATGTGGATATTCCAAAGTTTTTATTATTAGGTTCAGCCGACATAAAATTATCTTGTCAAATTGCTTTAAACATTTTCGAATTCTTACTTTTAATTTCTGTAATTGTCTCACTGTGGGCCAGTACACATGGTTTGCTGGTTGGCACTGGTTCTTGAGCCGCACTCTTGAGTAGCACTGCTCTAGACCCGCCCTCTTTCTACCTTCCCTCTCCTTGTGTTTTCCCGTAGAACAACTGTCTTTGAATTTAGGGTCTTGATGAAGCCAAGTGCTACCTGGAAGAGCTCTGTTGTGAATCACATTTGAGCGCTGGCTCCAGTTAAGCTGTAGGGAAGCCTAATTTGAAATTTAGTTAACATTCTAAAAATTGTCATTGAGGAGCCAGCTAATCAATCTTTGAATTACTTAACCAAGCAGCACACCTGGAGCTATGTGAATTTGAAAGACTTTGTAAAATTCTTCAAATCATTTCCTTAAAATCTTGGAACATGTCTTGGTAACATGTGTTAAACATTTCCCTTCACCAACAATCCGCTGTTAATGTGATTGCCCAAATAAATATAAAAACCAGAAAAACAAAAAACTAAACATCCTGGGTCATGTGTTCCAGAAGTCAGGTTGTACATATAATGTTGCTAGGGAGGATTCTGTCAAATCAAAGTTTTCAAAATGGAAGTGTTTTCCCAAGGACCAAAAAAATCCTTCCTTTTTTCACAAGTGGTAAATTTATCATGTTTTTTATCCTAGATATTGTTTTAGGTAGTTCTTTCTGTAAACAGAATTGAACATCTTGATGACTACATTAGTGTTATCAAAACTTGATTTGGCTCTTGGAAGAGGAGATACTTAAATCATGTTGGGAATTGTAATTTCATTTTCTAATGGATCTTGTGATATTATTTTACTAGTTTAATAATGAATATAATATTTTTATTAACTATCATTTTTAAATTTTATGTTTAATTTTTTTCTCAAAATGCTATTTGTTTACTTTTCAGGAATTACCCAACTCTGTCTTTTTGGTGATGGAGGTAGGTAGTATACAAGTTCTGTTTAATTTATTTCAAATTCCTGTTGATTAATGTGTTCTTTAAAATTGACAGTAGATTATTTGAAATTTTGAATCAGTAAATTTGATTCAGTGATTTAGATTCTACTAGAAAAACTTAAAATTTTAAAAATTTTGATTCCATAATCATTATAATTTTTAGACTAGGTTTACATTACAGTATGTACAAATGATTTTTTAATTAAAATTAACTGAGAATGAATTGAATTAATCTTGAATCACTGTCCTTATTTTAGTTATTTTTCTTTTATATATCAGTATTGCAATGGTGGAGACCTGGCAGATTATTTGCAAGGTAATTTTGTGTGTGTGTCAATGTTCAAATGTTCAATAAAGATAGTACTGTAGTCTGTTTAATCCTGAGAGGTACTTATGAAATATGCTACCCCTGTTTCCTGCACTTGTATAAGAAACATTCAATAAATATTTGTGTTATTTGTTTAACTCGTAGTCACTTTGTTGACCAATTGTTGTTTGTTGTGGTTTTGTTCCTAAACTTGTATATAAGTACTTACCTTTTTGCGTCTTTCTCTCTCTGACAGTGTTTGAGAGGTGGGTCCTCTCCCCAGGAGAAAAGAAACCAAATAGAATTTCTCTCCTTCAAAAGGCTCAACTGGGTTGCCATCAGTGAACCTTTAGTCCCTTTCATTTCTTTCAAAATAAAAAAAATAATGGGAGACTGTATCTAAGAATGTATTTCAGTGAGCATTTCTTATAATTAAAAAAACCCAACAACATTATAAGGGATTAAAGGTAACATAGAAATTATTTTGTGGCACAGAAGTAAGATTTTAGTACTAGATGGTGCTTGAAATTCTGTACCCAAAATGCATTCACGTAGGACATGAAGCATTCAGATCAAATTGTGTCCCTCCAAAGTATTTTATTTTAATGATGCTAGATAAGGCTAGCACCTCCTGTTCACTCCTTAAAAGATGCAAGGGAAATATGCAAAAAGATAGTAAAAGGTTAGTACATTCAACCTATTAAATAGATCACAGTAGAAATACTTAAGATCTCAATGGGTAGACACACAAAGGGTACAGACTATTTACAAAAGAGAATGTATTAAAAATGTTTATAACTTGTGACAGCTCCTGAAACAAAAAAAATTTTTAAAAACTTTAATTTCACTTAGTAATCAGGGAGAGTGCAATTAAAAATCAGACTTAAAAATCTTTAAAATATAGAATATTGCTGACATTCAAAAGCTGTGTGGAGAAAAATATAAAGAACACGGGTATACCCCCCCCAAATTTAAAAAGGAATTAAAAATACAGTTGAAGCCCCCTGTAAACCTTTCTGTAGTCCCATTCCTGTCCTTTCCCTAGAGACAAACATTGTTCTGAATTTAGTTGTTTAAAAAATGTGTCAGTTTAGTAAAAAAAAAAGTTACAAAATGTCATTTATTAGTAGATAGAATGCAGTGAGGCAGGCACTTGCATTCATTGCTGGTGGAAAGGAGTTGAAGCTAGAAATCAACCTGCTCTGTCTTCTCATCCGTCTCTAAGTCCTGAGTTCCTTGACGTCCTTAGTATTCTTGGTGAAAGTATTTTTTTCCTGGAGTCAGATTGAGTGGCACTTCCCAGTTTAGAGCTCTCGTTACAATATCAGTTTCCTTCATTAACAGAAGTATTATTCACCTATATAAGCACTGTTACTGGTGTAGTAGATTTAAGTTAATTTTGACAGTAGTTTTGTTGAACTCTGTATTTGATATTCCAGAGCAGTATTGTTGAAACGGGAGACCCAACAGTGAAGAGCCTAAGAGCTTGAATGGGGGCAGCCAGGAAAGCATGGTTCTATTAATAGTTACAATATTCACATCACTTAATTGCTGTATGATTTTGGTTTTTTATCTTCTCTCTGGTCCTTCTCTGCCACAGTCCTTAAGGGAATCTCTTGTAGTTTGAAAACACTTCTAAAGACGTATGAAAGAAATTCTGGTCTTTAGGGAATTGCCTAGAGCTACGCTGTTCCATACAGTAACCACTGACCACATTGGGCTCTTAAAATGTGGCTAAGTCCAAATTGACATGTGCTACAATTATAAAATGCACACTGGATTTTGAATACTTCATCAGAATGAATAAATCTCTAATTTTTTTAATATTCATTATAAGTTGAAATGGTAATATTTTGGGTATATTGGGTTAAATATATATTAATAATTACATTTATTTCTTTTCACTTTTTAAAATGTGGCCACTAAGAGATTGAAAGTTGCATGTGTGGCCACATTATATTCCTGTTGGAGAGTACTGTTCTAGAAGGTCTGGGATGTCTAGAAGGTTAAATACTGTTGTATCACAGCATGGTCATTTAATCTTTTTATTTGATCTGTGAAAAAAAATGCCTTTTACATTTCCAAAAGATAGAAAACAAATTCTGTCATTTGCAAGTTTGAAATAAAACAAATTCTAAATTAATAAGTTGTACTTTTTAAACATTAATTATAGCAGAATATAGTAAGTGTGGCAGCTATGGCTAAGCTTATTCTCTCAGTGTTAGCTTGCTCAAGAATTCATTCAAGGCCGGGCGTGGTGGCTCACGCCTGTAATCCTAGCTCTCTGGGAGGCCGAGGCGGGCGGATTGTTTGAGCTCAGGAGTTCGAAACCAGCCTGAGCAAGAGCGAGACCCCCGTCTCTACTAAAAATAGAAAGAAATTAATCGGACAGCTAAAAATATATAGAAAAAATTAGCCGGGCATGGTGGCACATGCCTGTAGTCCCAGCTACTCGGGAGGCTGAGGCAGAAGGATCGCTTGAGCCCAGGAGTTTGAGGTTGCTGTGAGCTAGGCTGACGCCACGGCACTCTAGCCCGGGCAACACAGTGAGACTCTGTCTCAAAAAAAAAAAAAAAAAAAGAACTCATTCAGAAGAGTTTTGGTATTGACAATGCCTTTTAAAATATAAAGTTTTGTTTGTTTATTTGGAGACATGCTCAGGCTAGAGTGCAGTGGTGTCATCATAACTCACTGCAGCCTCCAACTCCTGGGCTCAATAGATCCTCCTGCCTCAGCCTCCTGAGTAGCTGGGACTATAGGCACGTGCTACAGTGCTTGGCTAGTTTTTTGTAGAGATGGGGGTCTCACTGTGTTGTCCAGGCTGGTCTTGAACTCCTGGCCTCCAGTGAGTCTCCCACTTTGGCCTCTCAGAGTGCTAGGATTACAGGTGTGAACCACTGTGCCTGGCCCTGTAAAATACAAGGTTTTTAACATGGGAATTTCAGTTTCTGGGATTATGTTAAAAGGTACACATCATACATTCATGGAAATATATAAATTTTTATTGCAGTTTGTGCTCAGAAACAGCCTACACTAGGTCATTGCTTTTCCCCCCATGGGAACAGTGTTAGAATTTGGAATCATATTTCAGGTGTACTCAATAGTGTGTCATGGGGCAAAGATACAAGTTATAAGCAACTGCAATCATTTTAAAGTGGAAAAATTATACTAGGGTTTAAAATGAAAATGAATGAAATGAAATAAAATATACTATCAATTTTTTTTTGAGATAGGGTCTCACTCTATTGCCTGGGGTACAATACAGTGGTGTCATCATAGCTCACTGCAACCTCAGACTCCTGGGCTCAAGTGATCCTCCTGCCTCAGCCTCCTGAGTAGCTGGGACTACAGGTGCACATCACCACACCCGGCTGATTTTTCTATTTTTTGTAGACATGGGGATCTCACTATGTTGCTCAGGCTGGTCTCCAACTCCTGGCCTCAAGCAATCCTTCTGCCTCAGCCTCCCAAAGTGCTAGGATTACAGATGTGAGCCACCACACCCGACCTTGTCAATTTCAGTTGTTGCAATGTAACTTAAGTAAAATACTACAAAAATTAAGCTCTAGTAGTTGATTTGGCCCACTCACTAATATGCAATAATATATGTATATAGGCATCTGTAAGAAAATAGATCTAAAAGAGTGCACTCCTAATTTTTAACAATGTTCATTTCCAAAGGATGAGATTGCAGAAGATTTCTCTTTTGATATGTTTTTAGTGCATCCTGAATTTTTTTTTTTAAATGAGTATCAAGAAAAGAATCCCAAAGAATTAAAGAAGGAAGATAGGTTAAGAATAGACCTCACAGAAAAAAATATTTGGTAATTTTTAAACCATGAAGATTTATTTTATTTGAAGAGGTTAAGGACATATAAATGTCACTTAACATGGCATTAAAATGATTTTAAAACCATAATATTTCACTCATTCCAGGTGTCAATGTTATTTTTGTCTTTCTTAATTACAAATGGAAAGGTTATGTGGAACATATTCTAAATTGTATGGACAGAAGTATGTTCACAAAGGATTTAAATAGGTTTATGGATAGTAAATCCTTAGAGTAGATTGAAAGAATTGTGATTTTTAGATCCATTGTAATAAAAAGTTCATACTTGCGTATTTACTACATCTGAATGTTTATTATGTGTTAGACCTTTTTCTAAAGTTTTATTAAATGTTTTATTTTGTTTAATCGTCACATCAACCTCATGCGGTTAGTGTAATTATCAACCTTTTATAGATGAGGAAATAGGCACAGAGGGATTGTCCTCCAGGGTCACACAGTAAGTGGAGAAGCTGGGATTTGAAAAGCAGCAGCCTGACTCCAAATCAGGCCTTAACCAGCACATGCTCTGGCATACACAGAAATACTGCAGTGTTTACTGAATAATGACTACCGCCAAATAATTTTCATGCTGCCTTTTTACAGTACTGGACACAGGTTAAAACATTTATTCTTAAAGGTGTCTTTAGTAATGGAAGGTGATATGGTGGGACAGGGGTGTTGGACAGTGGGGGAGATGAAAGAGAAGATGCAGGAACACAGATTGCTAACAGGTACAGGGGCAGTAGTGTCCAGGTCTCTCTGGTCAAGGATTTCTCCTGTTTTTAATTTGTGCTCGTAATGGTTGGAATTAAACACGGGCATTTATTCCAGATATTTGACTAATACGAAGGGGAGCTTATTTTTTGGCTTATAAAGGATATTCACATTTGCTGAGCACCTATTGTGTTCAGAGTCATGTGGATACCTTCAGCAGTAAAAACATAAGGTAAAAATGAAAACGAGAAAAATGCAAATCAGTTCTCTTTATAACAGATTGATTACAGTTTTTGAAGAATCTGTTACCTCTTCATAGACTTCAGTTATTAAAGTAAAAATGAATGTGAATTCTAGTTCCTTATTCCCTTCATTCTCTCCTTCATAACTCAATTCTGTTGATGGAATATGCAGATGGTATTTAATTTTGTGCACTTAAATATTTATGTGACTCCTTTTGTACTAGCTAAAGGAACTCTCAGTGAAGATACTATCAGAGTGTTTCTGCATCAGATTGCAGCTGCCATGCGAATCCTGCACAGCAAAGGAATAATCCACAGGGATCTCAAACCACAGAACATCTTGTTGTCTTATGCCAATCGCAGAAAGTCAAGTGTCAGTGGCATTCGCATCAAAATAGGTAAACGGCCATGCATTGTTTCATGACAAGGACATTTTTGAGACTCAGTGTTTTTAGATAATTGTAATTTAGCTTTGTTAGAAAGATGGATTTTATTGATGCAATTTGAAATGTTTATTGAGATAAATGAGGTCTATTTAGACATGTGAATCCTTTACATTATTGGCAGCATATGCTAAATCTCAGGGCCAAAGGCCTCATATTAGGAGCTCTAAATATGAATCCCAGCAGCAAATCCTGCTGCTCTTGAGGGGGGGGTTGATGTAGTATGGTGACTGGCAGCAAATTAATAACATTGATTCTTGGCCGGGTGCGGTGGCTCACGCCTGTAATCCTAGCTCTCTGGGAGGCCGAGGCGGGCGGATTGTTTGAGCTCAGGAGTTCGAAACCAGCCTGAGCAAGAGCGAGACCCCGTCTCTACTAAAAATAGAAAGAAATTAATCGGACAACTAAAAATATTTAGAAAAAATTAGCCGGGCATGGTGGTGCATGCCTGTAGTCCCAGCTACTCGGAGGCTGAGGCAGAAGGATCGCTTGAGCCCAGGAGTTTGAGGTTGCTGTGAACTAGGCTGACGCCACGGCACTCTAGCCCGGGCAACACAGTGAGACTCTGTCTCAAAAAAAAAATAACATTGATTCTTACAGCTCATGGGGCTTTGACATGGGGATCTAAGAGATCATCTAGTTCAGCCTTTGGCTTTTTTTTTTTTTTTTTTAGTGCTATCTCAAAATTATCTGAAACAGGTTAGGAAAAACAGTGAAAATTCTATATTTGGTATTTGTATTTAATGAGAGCTATACTAATGAAGCATTTATTATAATTAGCACTTTTACTTGGAAAGTTTGGTGCACCTTGGTTACAAAACTGGTGTGACTTATGCAGTTGATTAGTATTGTTTTTTAGCCGTCGAAATTGTAGTAGCTACTCTTTGCTTTGGTGGACGGTCTTATTCAATAAGCTGTTTATTTTTCGTAGTTCTTTTGTGCCTTCTTGTGTCTTGAAGAGTCTTGATCTGTGTTAAATGTGAGCAAAGGTATCATCTGTCTTTCTAATTTTTATTTCGTGAAATAGCGGATTTTGGTTTTGCTCGTTACCTGCATAGTAACATGATGGCTGCAACCCTGTGTGGATCCCCAATGTACATGGTGAGTGAGCGTTTGCATCCCTGTGTGTTCAAAGCATTGGAATTTAAGTATGATCCTTGTTTTCAAGTAAGATGTGATTTTATGTATAGTTTGAACTGTTAGTAATGTTAATTATATTACCAATAATGCTATAACACAAACATCTTTTGCTTTAGCATAGTGGACTGTGAAAGTAACTCATTTTTGCCATTTGTTTTAGTTTTTTTAAAAGATTAGTTATTATGGCACAAATCCTCTATTAGATTAAATTGAGAATAAAAATTCGTGAAATATAATCATGATATGCTTGATGTGTACTTTTAAGAATACTAAAAAAAACACCTATTGGGGGCATTTGTTTAGCATAAGATATGCTCATCTTTTGCATGTTGTCTCTAGACAAGGTCCCTGTATTATAGACATTTTTCCCATCAGCCTCACACTGAAAACTGAAAAATCTTAGCTTTCCTCTTTATCCTTTCAGGTAGAGATTATCATGTATGATAGGGCTAGGCTATGAAACTTCTAAACTAATGTGAAGCATTAAGCCTGGAAATATGTTAATTCTAGAGCTTCAGAATTATGTAAAGTAAATAAATGTACCTATTTCAGTTCTAAGTTTAAAATGGATTTATGTTCAATTAGAAATTTCTCTAACCTAAAATCAACTTTGAGATCAAGAAAACTAGTTATCAAAGCTCAAAAATTTTTTATATCAAATCTGCTTTCTTGATTATATTATAATTTTACTGCTTATATAAACTTTATAATTTAATATAATTTTTAAAATTACTTTGTACTTCTTGAGTATAAAATTGGTTCAGCCTTGAGAATAGAGTGCTTTGGCTGATTATTAAAGGAGGTTGACTCAATAAGAAATTTACTGGGTACAATAAATACAAATGTTATGCCTGAGCTGGGCACAGTGGTGTGGCAAATGTCTGTAATCCCAGCTATTTGGGAGGCTGAGGCAGGAGGATCACTTGAGCCCAGGAGTTTGAGACTAGCCTAGGCAACATAGCAAGAGCCTGTCTCTTTAAAAAAAAAAAAAGGAAAGAAAAAGAAAGGTGTGCCTGGAAAATAAAATTTAACTATCTTTAAGTGTATTGGACATTTCCATTTAGTGTTTGACCTGATTGATGGTATATTTAAAATGTAACATTTGATGAAAAGTGAGAAAATACCTCTAACAAAGCAGCAGAGAAATGCTTTTACTTTTAGCATAATTTTTATTATTGTGATTTGGATCATAGTTTTTCTATTATAAAAAGTTTCAAATTATAAAAAAATGTAGGGAATAATGTAGCAAACACCTGTGTACCCAGCATCCATATTTAACAAAGGTAACATTTTGCTATGCGTTCCTTGATCTTTTTTTTAGAAAGAAAGAAAATATTTTAGAGGCAACCGCGTCCCTTTTGTCCCTCTCCCTGATTCCATTACCCACTCTCCTACCCTCACACCCCTGAGGGGACCTCTGTCCTATAATTGATGTGTATTTTTCTTTATTATTGTTTTACTACTTTTACTATACTTTATGTATCCCTAATAATAAATGTTTCTACAACTTGCTTCTTTTCATACATTGTTACTGAGATTTACCAGTAGATCTCTATATATAATAATGTAGTTCTAAGTTCATTGCAGTATTGTTTGAGTAGAGAAATATTAATCACAGTGTGTTAAGTTTTATTGTGGTAGTTTGTTAGGAGTGTGACCATTACCAGTTAACTAATATATACATATTGATTATGTAAATAGCATAATGCGTATCTCTTGACTTTCTCTATACCCAGGCTCCTGAGGTTATTATGTCACAACATTATGATGCCAAGGCAGACTTGTGGAGCATAGGAACAGTGATATATCAATGCCTAGTTGGAAAACCACCGTTTCAGGTAACCTGACTTTTTTCCTTGTATCCTCAGTTATGGGATCTTCTCATTTTACAGTTGCCTTTGACTTATGAAATGAGGAGTACTTTGAAAGCAATGTTTTTGGCTCCTTTGTGACTTACTTGGATTTTGTTACAGGCAAAAATTGCTGTAGTGAGCCAGAACATCTTTTGCTTTTCCCCTCTTGTTGCCTGCCCTTTGTAGTTGGACTGGGTGTAAAGCCTGTTTTCCAGGCTAGTGAAAACTAGCTAGAGTCAGAGCTAATAGGCTGGTGGGAAAGGGGTGTGAATGGTCATATCAGCGCTTCCTGTTTAGCCTGGTTTTGAGTTCCTGGAATCCACTTGAGGGCTGGGGCTTGTCTAGGGAGATCACTGGAAACTGTGTCTCCACTTCTTTATTCCTGACGCTGCTGGATGAGAGGTAATTATTTAGGCTTTTGGAAATTATTTTGAGTCTCTTTCCTCCTCTCTTCCTCTCCCCTAACATCCTGTCAAAAAGTGGCCCTCTAGAATATAATCATGATGATTTATCTTGAATTCATATTGCTATGTCATAATTTCTTATGTTACAGAGAAGATCTTTGAATCCAAAAACTGGAACAAAGTGAAATTATTTGCCCAAGATGGTATAAAAAAAAAAAATCAGTGACACATCCAGGTTAAACACTTAATCTCCCAGTCTAGTTTGTGTGTAGAGGAGGCTTCACTAATTTAGCAGCTCCTGTTATAACCTGTTGCTATGGACAGACTGAATAGTAGCAGTATACTAAGTTCTCATCTTTGAATTCCTTTAAGGTCCTAAGGTAAATACATCTGGATTTATACAGTAATAACGTACCTATTGGGTAGGCCATGTAATCTCCAGAATAGTGGTCCTTGACCTTTTCTGAGTTTCAGGCTCCTCTGAGAGTCTGACCTCAGAAAAGGTGCATCATACTCAGATGCACAGAATTTTCACACAGTTTCGTAGGTTTTATGAGTTCCTAATGCCCAACTATGGGTCCCTCAGCAATCCATGGTTTTCAAGTTTAGAATCTATGTTCTGTATAGCAAGAATATGACTGTCAGTCGCATAATTTGGAAGTTTTGCTTCATTGTTTAGGAAATTAAACCTTTTTTTTTTTTTAAATAGGCCAATAGTCCTCAAGACTTAAGGATGTTTTATGAAAAAAACAGAAGCTTAATGCCTAGGTATGTGTTTAGATTACACCGGGTTCTGCTATTTGTGAACACAGTGTTATTTATTTGAACTCTGTGTATTTTATGTATTTCCATTATTGATTCCTGTTTCATTTGACAGAAATGTGAGAGCATTTATTATAACAGGAAATTAGAAAATTTCAGGCACATCATAGGTACCTGGGTAGTGTTGTACCATTTTCTTTCTTTTTTAAAATGTAAAGTAAATTTAAAAGAAAAATTTCCAGAAGTTATATATGTTCCTTTTGGAGGGCAATGCAAGCAGAATAGATGTGCATAAAGTAGAAAATAAATTTCCACCTAAGCTTTGCTCTGTTCTGTAGGGATAACAAGAGTTTGCTTTGTATCTTTCCAGATATTTTTTGTGGGAGTTCTTTATATATGTTTGAATGCTTGCTTTTTTGTTTGTTTGTTTTTCTTTGCTGATTGTGCTTTAAAAGAGTGCCTGTTTACGTGTATATTTATACACACACATAGTTTAAGACAGATTACATCATACTTTGTGAATTGTTCTGCAACTTACTCTTGTTTTTCACCATGTAGTATATCATAGATGATGTTCAATGATCGTATGCAGAGAGCTACAGCATTCTTTTAAATGGCTACATAGAATCCCATAGTGAGATGTACCATATTTTATTAAATCAGATCTCTGTTGTTTTCATTTTTTGGTTACTACAAACAATTTAGTGAAGAGTGTGTGTGTGTGTATATACCTTTATGCATGTTTGCATTTCTTTGGGATGAACTCCTAGAAATGAAATTGTTGGACTGAATGTTATGCTCTCCAAGTAGGCTCTCCCAGTTCATACGGCAGGATTAGAGAATGCTCCTTTCCCCTCATTTTTAGCAACATGGAATGTTATCAGATTTGATGCCTCACAAATGGAGGCAGACCAGTTAGCTATTAATTTAATTTGTATTATTCTCTTCATTAGTGAGGTTGGCTCCTTTTTTGTCTAATATCTTTTTGTCCTTTTCATTCTGTGAGTTGTATATTCCTATTAGTTAAGTCATTTTCCTACTACTTTGTCATTTTTTTTTTCATATAGGATTTAAGAAGTTGTATTATTTCTCATTTGTATTTGTTTAAGCTTTGCCCTTTTCCACACAGAATTGGTAGTGGCTGTTTTTCTAGTAGTGAACTTCATAGCAACTATTAGCACAAAGTTGAAGTTGTGTTAAAACTCAAGATTATCTGGGCTTGTGAAGTGTTGTATTTCTGCAGATACTCTAATAAACAACAATAATAAGCACAATATAGGCATCCTCTCAAATTGATGCTATTTCTCAAAGGCAATTGTTTAGTGCCTTTTTTTTTCCTTCTTTAAGGTGTGAGGGCTTACCATGGTCTTCTTGGTATAAATGTAGTATTAATATTTGTGAAACTGCATATATATTTTCATTTATCATACTGAGGGCAAAAGTAATATAGTTAATATATATAAACTCGTCACTTATGTTGGGTTTTCTTTCCTTTCCCTCAGTATTCCCAGAGAAACATCACCTTATTTGGCTAATCTCCTTTTGGGTTTGCTTCAGAGAAACCAAAAAGATAGAATGGACTTTGGTAAGAAATAGTTTCAAATTATGCATGCTTTCTAATTTTATTTTTATGTATGCTGAAAAGATTTTTTAAAAAAGATAACTATAGAGATTTCAGAATAAAATTAAGTCGATTTCGCTTTTCTTTTTCTTTATTTTCCTTCAGTGTGTTTGTAAATGTTTACTGAGTGCTTACTGTGTTCTAGGTATGGGAGATAGAGTAATAAACAAGGTCTTTGTCTTCATGTAGCGTATATTCTAGTGGGAGAACACAATAAATAAATTATAAACTATAATTGCATATTATATTAAAAGGTGCTGCATACTGTGGAAAAAAATAAAGATGGAAGAGGAATGGATGTGTAGGTGGGAATTGAAATTTTAAATAAGGTAGTCATTGAAGACCTTGCTGAGAAAGTGACATTTAGACAAAGACTTGATTGACTTGCAGTGAAAATGAGCCTGGTGGGTATCTATGGGAAGAGCTCTTCAGGCAGAGGGAATAGCCAATACAAATGTCGAGAGCTGCGAGCATGTGTGTAAGCTTGGGAGGCAACTAGAAGGCCGGTTAAAGACTTGGGCTTTTGGCCGGGCACCGTGGCTCATGCCTGTAATCCTAGCACTCTTGGAGGCCGAGGCGGGAGGATCGCTTGAGCTCAGGAGTTCGAGACCAGCCTGAGCAAGAGCGAGACCCCATCTCTACTAAAAAAATAGAAAAATTAGCCAGACAACTAAAATAGAAACAAGTAATTAGCCGGGTGTGGTGGGGCACGCCTGTAGTTCCAGCTACTTGGGAGGCTGAGGCAGGAGGATTGCTTGAGCCCAGGAGTTTGAGGTTGCTGTGAGCTAGGGTAAGGCCATGGCACTCTAGCCCGGGTGACAGAGCAAGAGTTTGTCTAAAAAAAAAAGAAAAGAAAAAAGGACTTGGGCTTTTCCTCAGTGTGATGGGAGCCATTGGAGGGTTTTGAGCAGAGGAAAAGTGATCTGAGTAATGTTTTAAAAGTATCAGTCTGGTTGCTTCTTGAGACTAGACTGTACTATTTATTCTGTTATTTTCTTAATGATTACTCTAAGGATTACAATATGTGTCTTAATTTATCACAATCTATACAAATAATAGTTGAATATCATTAAAATATAGAAACTTTGTTCTTCCAGTGTAGCACGATTCCTTCCTCCCTTTTTGCTGTTACCGTCTCATATGTTTGTCTGTGTTGTAGTCTCCACAATGCAGTGTTGTAACCATTGCTTTATACAATCTTATGTCTTTTAAAGAAGTTAGGAGAAGAAGTAGAAAGGAGAAAAAAACATTTATAGAGTCTTCTGTTAGCCTATACATTTACCATTTCTGGTGTTCTTCATTTCTTCTTGTGGATTCAAGTTACTGTGTGGTGTCATTTTTTGTCTCTAATACAATTCCATTCCCCTTCCTTTGTGCTATCATTGTCATGTATATTAATCTTTAGATGATATAAGCTCAACAATACAATTTTATAATTATTATTTTATGCAGTTGTCTTTTAAATCAGTTAAGAGAAGAAAGAAAAATATATAATATACTGTCTTTTATAATTATTTACATAATTACTAGTGCTCTTTATATAAATTCTTTCAAAATCTTCATTTATCTGGGAATGTCTTTATTTCACCTTTACTTTAGAAAAATGTTTTATGAGGCCACTGTCTGCTGGGATGTGTGCCTATTCCTCCCTCTTTTGGAGTGTACCATCGCTTGCTAAAAAAAAAATTAAAAAAAAAAAAAAAGAAAAATGGTTTTTGCTAGATATTGAATTATTGGTTGATAGAGTCCCCCCACCCCCAGTACGTAGACTATGTCATTTTACTACTATCTTGCCTCTATTATTTCTCATAAGTCACCTTTTAATTTTATTAGGTTTCCCTAGTATTTGATGAGTCATTTTTCTCTTCGTGCTTTTGAGATTTTTCTCCTTGTCTTTGACTTTTGACAGTTCTAACTGTGATCTGTGTAGATGTGTATCTCTTTGTGCTTATCTAACATGGAATTTTTTTTTTTTTTTTTTTT